TCCCATTAAAAATATTTGATTAGCCTACATGACACCCATATCTGGTTCTTGCCTAAAAAGACGAGTTTATGATGTTTGTAGTTAATAGATTTGCCTGCTTTTAGCCTTACCCTGGACTCGGTTCACCCTCAGCCCATACCTTGCTAGACATATTTGTGCATCCATTTCCAAATTCACCTGGTTCACCTTTCCACTGAAAGTACAGTAAAAATACGGTAGTGTTCCTATGGCACCTTCACAATCCCATGATGTTCTTTAAAATTCCATGTAAATGTTATCATATGTAAATATGGTCGTCTTTTAGTACCATGCCATCTGATACCATCTGATACCATCACTTTACTATAGTAGCACACAGTGCTTCTTTGCAAGGCTAGCGTTCCCATCAGACCAATACATTTTACTGGAATATGCTCGCTTGGGCTTTTTCTGAAATGGCATCCACAAACGGTGCATATAATCTGCCTTTTAATGGTCTTGGGAAAAAGCTGCTTAGTCTTAGAGATTTGGAGGTGGGGTTTTGGGGTGGCGACTCTCCAAGACAATTGACAATAGCCTGTATAGCCTCTTCTGCTTGAGTGACTTAATGGCTGCTGTCCTATTGTATTGTTTCGAGGTCAGATCCAGGACACCTGCTGAGAGCAACAGCAACTGAAAAACAATGATGTAAAGCCTTCACAATCCCATGATGTTCTTTAAAATTCCATGTAAATGTTATCATATGTAAATATGGTCGTCTTTTAGTACCATGCCATCTGATACCATCACTTTACTATAGTAGCACACAGTGCTTCTTTGCAAGGCTAGCGTTCCCATCAGACCAATACATTTTACTGGAATATGCTCGCTTGGGCTTTTTCTGAAATGGCATCCACAAACGGTGCATATAATCTGCCTTTTAATGGTCTTGGGAAAAAGCTGCTTAGTCTTAGAGATTTGGAGGTGGGGTTTTGGGGTGGCGACTCTCCAAGACAATTGACAATAGCCTGTATAGCCTCTTCTGCTTGAGTGACTTAATGGCTGCTGTCCTATTGTATTGTTTCGAGGTCAGATCCAGGACACCTGCTGCGAGCAACGGCAACCGAAAAACAATGATCGTAATGGCCAGTTCCAGTTTGGTGACATCTGAGGGTTGTGTTTTCCAGTCATTAGTTCTGTTAGCACTGTCAACCTCTCCAAACCCATGTTTTTTAACTGCAGCGTGTCTTTAATCAGAGCTTGTAGGGAGAGAATCTATGTGGATCGCAGGTAGAGGTGTAAAAATTTAGCAAACTAAAAATGATCTGATGAAAATGGAATGCATTTTTAAAATTAATAATTAACTATATTTTCAAATATTTGATTTGAATAGGGCTGATTGCTCATTTGTGACCTTTAGATGATATTATTTTCCCATAATTTCCAAACTGAATTTAAAATGTGAAGTAAAATACTGTACATTTTTTCACAATGCAGTATAGTGTATATAGTATAGCTATATTTACCTACATACATTTTTACTAAAACGTTTTAATATTTAAAACATGCCAGACAGTGACTTCTGTGAACATTAATGAATAATGATGCATTTGAATCTTTAGGTTGATTTGAATTGTTATGAATTGATTCATTTAAACAGACAGATTAATGGCAATGATTCAAACTTCTATAGAAAAAAAAAACATTCTTTAGGAAACATAATGGTGAAATAAAGGGCAAAATTCACAACAGATTCATGATGTTGCTTAATTTTATACTAACCATTCAGAAGTTTGAGCTCAGTAACTTTTTTTTAATGTTTTTGAAAAAAGTGTCTTATGGTCACTGAGGCTGAGAAAAAAAATACAATAATATTGTTAAATATTATTACAATTTTAAATAATTATTTTTGTATTTTAATATATTTTAAAATGTTTTTTTTTCCCTGTGATGTAAAGCTAAGTTCTATGTTACATGATCACTCTAATATGTTGATTTGCTGCTCGCAAAACTTTTAATATTATCAATGTTGAAAATGTATTTGGAATAAATAGCTTTTGTAAAAATGTCTTTACTTTCAATTTTGATCAATTAAATGAATCCTTGCTAAATGGAAAAAAAAAACGTACTGACCTCAGACTTTTGAATTATAGTATATATCTCAAAAATATAGGACATATTTAATATATCAACACAGCCCTAATCAAATGAAACTTTAAAATGATTAAATTGAATCATTAAAATGATTGAATTGAATCATTATCAGAGCAAATATTTACACTCCTGCTCTCAAGGTCAAATGGCACAGTAGTGTTTTGTGTACATGTGTGTGTGTGTGTGTGTGTGTGTGTAGCAGAACTACTCATGATCTGACAGCACAGAGAGACAGCGGGAGGAATTAACAATAATAATGTGTGTGTGTGTGACCCATTTTATCCAGCGCACCTACAGGCAGACTTACTGGACGCGGCTCGGGCTGTGCGTTTCTAGTGTGGTTATTACCAGGAACACCTCAAACACTGTGTGACACTTACTCAAACAAAGCCTACTGTTCGTTTGAATATTTCTCTCTCGACATCCGTCCTGGTTTCTTTATTTAACAACCATTTGGTTTCACCCTTCACACACACACACACACACACACGCGCGCTGAGCCTTTTTTCATGGCCAAAGCCAGCGCTGTTACTATAGAGATGCTGCCCACATGATGGTACGGACTTTGACAGCACGACTTCTCTATAATAAGCCTCTCTCGCTCTTCTCCATATCAGCACAATTCGGCCGCGTTCAAACGACAGCTGACAGTGTTACTATGGTGACCCACAAACATCCGCTTAGTAAAAATGTACTTGTAATATTCTATAATGGTGCTACATTTGTATTTGAATAGCGTGAGGTAATGCCTGTTTTTGAATGATAAAACACTTTACAAATAAAGGATTGCTATTTTAGTTTCTGTTATAGTCTTATAAGAATGTCGTAACAGTCAAGTAAAATTGCTGTGCATATACTGACATTTCTATTTCTCAGAATTTTAGTTTATTTAGTAGGATATTTTTTGTTCCTTGTTTAAATTTTTTTATTAGGCATTTTATAGTAGCATGGGTGGATTACTAAAGATTTTATTTATTTATTTGCTTTTATGTTTTGTTTATTAATGTTTGACAAAAAATACTGACCTCAGACTTGTGAATGGTATTATATACCTCAAAAGTGGGAAATATTAATGTCAACCAGCCTTAATCATGATTCGGAGCAAAATAACAGAATCAAATGAAACTTAAAAATTGAACTGAACCATCGTCAGAGTTATATATGTTGGCTATATTTGGCTGAGATACAACTATTTGAAAATCTGGAATCTGAGGGTGCAAACAAAATGAAAATATTGAGAAAATTGCCTTTAAAGTTGTCCAAATGAAGTTCTTAGCAATGTATATTACTAATCAAAAATTAAGTTTTCATATATTTACGGTAGAAGACATTTACAAAATATTTTCATGGAACATGATCTTTACTTAATATCCTAATGATTTTTGGCTTAAAAGTAAAATCGATAATTTTGACCCATACAATTGTGTTGTTGGCTATTGCTACAAATATACCCGTGCTACTTATGACTGGTTTTGTGCTCCAGGGTCATATATTTGAAGAGTTTATTTGCAAAAACAGATAACTCCTTTTTTTTATTGTTATCATATTTTCATTATTTTATTGTGTTAGTTAGCTGTATTTTTTTAGTTATTTTTACTGTACTTTTACCAGTTGCAGTTTGATTGAGTTTAATTAGAATGCACAACGAAAAACATGATTTTTGAAAATAGTTAAAAGTTATGTTTTTGCAAATGAACTCTTCATATATACTGTATATATATGAAGATATTGACTGATATTGACATGCTAAAGATTTCTGCTTTATTGATAATTGCATGTTAGCTTCTTGTACAAATCTTTAAAATCATCTTTTAGAAGTCTTAATGCTTTATTTTTGAGTTTTTTGTGAATTTTAAGTAATACATCAAATAAGTGCTTGTTTAACTAACTAGTCTTAACTAGCTAGATTCAAATCTGCTTTTTTCTTTATTTTTTGGCTCTTTGGAGAGTATAACCTGAATGTGCTACAAACAACTACATTAACACACAAGTAACATGTTGCATCTGCATTACTGCAAGAAGCACTATGGCACAAATTAGGATAAACGAATGCCATCTGTGGTTAGTTTTCTCTTTCAGTAGAGCTAATGTCATAACGGAGCTCCAGTTTAAAGATATTCTTGCTGAGAAATTTAGTTAAATGATATACAGACAGAGGTTTGTTGTAACTCAATAAAGCATGTGCATTATGTAGAACGGATCAGCATGCTTGCAGTGCCTTGGCCAATGTTCATGTTTTGTGTACTTAAGTAGGCTTTTGGCCTTAAAGTCTTTGTTAACTGGCTGAACTTGGCGCAAATCTCACACGGGCCGAAAAATGCTTCTTACAAAAACACAGTCCATTCCTACATCACTCGTTGCCATGGTTGCAGAATACTCCCCATACCAGAGAATTCCTGCCCGGAGCTCTCATGGATTCTTTGCGTTTGTTTACTGCAGTCTGCAGTTCAGCTCTACATGAGACTGACCTCGTAAAGCACAAGGCATTTCACATCATTACAGAAGTTCATTTACATGTTAATTAAAGACAAACTCTTAAAATCTTTCATGCACTGCTTTTATTTCTCTCGCTGGCCAGACAAAACATATAAATGTCAGGATAGTTAAATTATTGTGGTACTAAAATCCAGTTTTAAACACCTAAAGGTAGCTAAAACCTTATCTTGAGGGGAATAAAACTGTATTGAAAAACTAAATATGAGTAAAACAAGTGTCCACTAGAACTTTGCACATTGCGCTGATGCAATATGTCTTCCCATATAAGCCATCCTCGCTGTTCTTGCTGTAATCATGTTGACCCATTCATGCATTTTCATAATCACAGTGTTTGGGTTATGGCAGCTTCTTGTGTGTTTGAGATTATATTGCAGACTCATGGCTGACATTTAAATGGCCTTTATTCTCCTTTTCTGTGTCAAGTGTCAGGACCCCAGTGGGTTCGGAAATGCACCATGTTTGTGAGAACGATGAGCCTGGCAGACATGTCCGGTAAGTGCCGCTCCGCAGCCAAACGCACTTCACGCACAGGATGGGATCAACTCTGACTCCATTTATACAGTTATGAACTGAGCGAGAGGAACAGTAAACTGATAAAACGCTGCATTAAGATGATTCAGATGCATTTGGCGAATTGCAGGGTTTGAACCCATCCTCTTAACTGTGCATGTCGCTTTCACCTTCTTGGGTCTCATTCACTCGTAATTGTGAATTTTTACCGTCATTTGTTGATCAATCCAGATTATTCTAAATGAGGGAGGGCGTGTCTTCATAAAGTTATTAGCATAATACACACCCATGTCCATATAAGGGCTTTCGTACAACCTCTCCTATATTTGTCAGTCTCTGCATGTACTTTTTTTCCTTTTCCAATTTCAAAACTAGTTGAAATGCAAAATAGTTTTTATGTAGTCCTAGACAACATCATCGGCTGCATTAATGCAGAATTCATTCTGACTTGAACTGTTGTAACTTTTGTTGCTTTGAAATTAGACTTAGTAGGGTCATTTAGTTACTTGGTTATAATATAATAAAAGTGATTCTACAATAAGTCTAATTGAACTTAGTTTCATATATTCTACGTCAACTAAGTGATCCTATATCAGTGCCGATAGCCTTGTGGACGGCGCGCCGACATTTAGCACCATTGTGCAACAGGCTTCCCGAGTTCGAATTCCCACTGGAGGACCTTTCCTGATTCTGCCCCTATCTCTCTGCCACGTCAGTTCTGATCTGTCTTATCGTAATAAAAGGTGAAAATGCCCAAAATAAACCTTAAAAAAATAAATAAGTGACCCTACAATAAGTTTATTTTCAAAGCTACAAAAGTTCTGTAATGTAATGAGTTTTATTGTGAATTTCAAATAAATATAAGTGATACATTTAACTTTTATTAAACACTGGTTGTATGAAAGACATGTTTGTGAATGAGACTCGTGTCTTTTGTTTGTGTGCATGTTCCTGCTCTGTGTCCCTTTTTTGCCTTTCCTTCTGTATCTTACTTCAAATGTCTGACTGAGTTGGAAGAGCCCTTGTTTGTGAGTTGTCTGTGCGTATCTTCTGGAAAGCAGGTGAAAAGACAGGTAAACTGTGCATAGCGTCAACAGGACATTGATTATTGGATGACCGGAATGGGCTTTTAGTAGTCAGGACTTTGAGTTCTGATGTATGAAAATCCAGGGTCAGATTGGATGCTCGGAAGTTGTGGCCTCAACCATTTATTTTAGATGGAGGGATAAGGATATAGTGATCTAATTTTTAAAGTCTCAATGAAATCAAAACTGACCCAATTTACTTTCTTAATGCATATTGTGTCTTATTGACTTTGTCATCCTTCTTATTTTGTAACTCCTCTTCTTCAACCTATTGGTCCCATTCAGATATATCTCACCAATTTTTTTTATCCTGTTTCGCTCAGAAATATGACAGATTACAGAGAACTGCAAACAGATGCCTGCTAGATCGACGCTGAAGATTTTTCATCTTAAGTCATTCAGCCAACAGTTTAAACGAAGGTTGCATGATTTGGGCAGGAAATCTAGTTTTTCTGATAAAAATTGCGATTTAAAATGCGATTGAAAAAAATCCAGGTTTGCTGTGTTTGTATATACGGCTGCACAATATGGCCAAAATCTTGTGATTATACCTGCATATGGTTATAATACAACAACAGCAATAATAATAATAATTATTAAATAAAAACAAAATAAGAAAATGTTCACTGTAAATTTAAAAAAAGTAATTAAGAGATATAATATAGTAATATTTATTTTACAGTACAACTGTAAAAATTACAATATTTAATATCTTCACTTTTGAATGTTAAACTTTTATATTGAATTACAGCCTTTTAGATGAGCACACTAAGCCATATCGCAATTTTGGTTATATTTTGATCAATGGTGCAGCCCTAGTTTAAACTGGGATGTATTTATATTTCTTTATTGAACTATCAGGAGGACACACCTAAATAAGAGAGTCTGAACATCCCTAACATGTCCAAAAACGAGTGGAGAGAATGGCACAAAAGCTCTGTCATACGAGCAGCCCTTCTCTTCCTGCGAACAGCTGAGGAGTTACAGAGGCCTGGTGTTAACCCAGCGTTCAGATCGCCACATCAAATATTCAACAGGTGCCTCTGAACGTGAGCTTTTTGTGTGTCTGAGACGGTAAGAAAGGCTAGATAGACGAGTGTGTGACGAGAGAGTTCATTTTATTTTTGCTTATGGAAATCTCCAAGGAAAGCCCACCCATCTGCACGTATCTGTGGAGGGTCCGACCACAGGAGAACGAACGTGGACGCATCTGAATCGGTGAAGCGATGACGTAGAGAGGTGATGACAACTAAAGTGTGGCTAGTACTCGACCTTGTTGACCTCCGTAGTTCTGCCTCACGGAATCAACAACAGAAGAAATGTTCAAGAGGAAGAGAATGCTCAAGGTATGAAGCAATATGAGAGCAAGGAAGATTCAGTATTTGAATGTGGAAATATTTACCTAGTTGACTTAGGGTTTAATTGGTTGGTTGGGTAATGCATTATAAATTTGAGTGCTTTTATGTTTTTAACATGTACGATTTGAATCAGCTGTCGAGAGCAGTCTTCTGTGTGTTGTGTTCAACAGCGTCTGTCAGAGAAACATAAACCAGTCATGGAGAACATGTATGAGGTTACCACAAGAGAAACGGCATGGATTGGCTGGCTTTATACTGACTGGTTAAGAAGGTTTGGTAGACTAGTGCAAGTTATGCCTACTTTATCGTACAGCAGAGAAGAGATATTCTAGATGGACGTGGTTGATTAGCATGTTTCCATCCCAGGTTTATCTCAGGTGAACCCGTATGCCAGCCGCCAGGTGTGTTGTTTGCTGTAAATCCTACAGCGTGTTTGCGTAACATCACTGCAGTCTTGGTTAAAGCCAGCTGCATTTACCGTCGCTACACGCAGTAATACCCGCAGCGTTGTAGGAGGAACACTTGAAGGTTGAAATGTAGTCTTTATTGTGGGTTGAATAAAAACTTGCTGCCTCTTTGGAGATCCAGGCGTGTTTTGTTCGGCACCGTTTCACAGCTGGAAGGACAAGTCTCGTGGTTTCAGCACACAATATGCAATGAAACTTGGACCAGTGTATTGATTTGAATTAGCATTCAGCATAGATAATTATCAGTTTGTCTTTGAGTAAGTAATATTTTGATGTTCTTTTAATTAGTTTCAGGGGTTTTTTTAAGCATATTATGCTATATAGACTATCGTTCAAAAATCGGGTCTGTAAGATTTTAACAAATATTTATAAAACAAGTGTCGTGCTCATCAAGGCTCCATTAATTTGATAAAAAAATACTGTAAAACAAATAATATTATTACAATTTAAAATAGCAGTTTTCTATTTTTATATAGTTTAAAATGTAATTTATTCCTGTGACGCAAAGCTGAATTTTCAGCATCCTTACTCCAGTCTTCAGTGTCACATGATCTTTTTAGAATTCATTCTTATATGTTGATTTGGTGCTCAAGAAACATTATTATTATCAATTTTGAAAACAGTTTAGGTGCTGCTTAATATTTTTGTGTTTCTTTGAATAGACAGATCTAAAGAGCAGATTTTCTAAAATACAAATCTTTTGTAACATTATAAATGTCTTCACTGTCTCTTTTGATCAATTTAACATGTCCTAGCTAAATGAAAATATTATTTCAAATCATACTGACTCCAAACGCTTCAACTGTACTGGACTTCTATATTTCTTTGAATGTCAGACTAGACCTTTCAAGACAGCTTAAAATGGCATTCACAACATATTTAGCTTCTGTGATGTGGTGTATTTCTGAGTGAAACACAATATTCAGAAGGGAATACTTAAGCAAGCATGACTATTACTGTTGCTTTTCCTCATGGTTAGGGATTTGACAAACCCTGAGCCATATCTAGACCAAAATATCTTAGAGACTTGGGCCAATAAGCAGCCATCCAGAACATCCTAGCAACCGCATAGCAACTTCTTTTGCAGAAAGCATTATTCATATTTTCCTTCTGTATATATGTTCTAAATGATGTTGGTTATTATCATATTTCCCCATCCTTGATGTCAGCAGAAAGTAATTTCAGTTGGAGAAATGCATTTATATTTTTATGAAAGATTGCTGAATCATATTCAGTAAGACCAGGGGACATTAAGAATGTAAATGGGGTCTGTTTTTATTTATATTAAGGTAATGGAACAAAAATAGTTTTGACAGTAAATGTTGTCAGTTTTTAAGAAAGATACAGGATAGTGTCTAAAAATGCTGCTTTCGCTGCAGGAATGTTGACTACGTCAATAACCCTTGTGTCAGTCAGGGACAGAGACAGAACGCTGCCTAATAATGACTGACAAACAATCAGTGTGACTCCAGTTAATATCTTCAGACATGCCTGTGCACTGCGGTGTAAGTGTGCAATATATTTCCACTGATTTATAGGCAAGACATTGGCAGGCAGCTCTTCTCACTGTCACTGATTTGGCCGAGATCTCTCCTCTGAGATCTCAGCTGATCTTCAAGCCGTGTGTTGTGAGGGCCGAGATTTCATCGGATTGAGGAATGTGTGCTCAATTCAAAGCCAAATGGAGAAGGTGGGGTTCTGGAAGTAGGTTGGGTCAGAAGAATTTTTATTTTTTATTTTTTTTACTTATCAGGGGCAGCAGGGCTGTTATATTTTTGAAAATGTTTCTTTTTTATATTACTTTCAATTTCAGTTTCATGTAGTTTCAATTATTCCTAAATAGTATTATAATTGTAAAATGGCCAATTGTTTTTTTTTTATCTTTATTTTTAGTAATTTAGTAGTTGTTTCTAGATTTACTTTCTCAATTTTTTATTTTATATATATTTTATTATATTTTATTTTGTGTGTGTATATACAGTATATAATTTACATGTTTTAAATTATTCTTTAAAAGGTTATTTTGTTTGTATTATTAGTAAATGGCCAGTTAAAGTTTTTATTTTGGATTGTATTTTTACATTTTAGTTTCAGTTTTTCCTGTTCATTTAATAGTTTTTATTTTGTTTGCATTTTTGGAAACCACCTAGGTTTTGTTTGATTTTTATTGCATTGTCAGTATTAAAAATAAAATAATAAAATACTATGCATATTTTATTATACAAGATCATTTTCTCAGTACAGTTTCTGTGTGTTTTTGTTTATGTTTTAGCGCATGTTTATAGCATTAGATTACTTAATTTTTACATATTATTTTTAGTGCGAGATTTCTTCTTCCTAGTTTTTGTAACAGTTTTCATTATCAATAATAACTCTGATCAGGAACTGTGAGGCTTGTGGTCAGGTAGAGTTTGACGGAAGTGATTTTACCTTTGGAGGCCAGTCTTTCAGTGTTTTCAGCTTTGCTTCCTTGTCTCCTCTAAGAGTTGCAGCATGCAAATCCAAACACAATATTTGTTTACACGGCACCAGTGCTTTTGCTTTGCATTCTGCTTAGTTATAGAAGTAAGCACACATACTGAGGGGTTTATTGTTATCATTGAGATTATATAGGAACACACTAAGTTCACACACATCTGCTTGCTTAACAGTACAGTATAGGTTTAATACTTGTTAAATATGCTTATGCACTACTGACCATCTCTAAAGGTTTCTTGTCCAGGGGAGAGCAGCTAGCAATAAAGGTAAGTTTGACAGAAGTGTCCGACGCCTCCTTTCTCCCATACTGCCACACGCACAGTGCTTCAATCAATCTGATCATTGCCTCTAAAATGATTGGCTTATCAATGCGCTGGCCTTTCCTAATTTGCCATCCCTTTGCGGGAGAAAACAAGGATTGCTTTGGGTAAAGCAGCAGGCAGATCCACTCTTGTCATCCCTCATTCCAGTGTTTAAACTCATCCGTGACTGTTTGATGTTGTGCAAACCTAAAGGAGGACTGCAGAGATCTGTGCTTCCCCCGAGGGGTTCGGGGAAGTGCTGTCTCGCAACCAAATGCTCCCGTGGCAGTGTTTCCATCGAAACTGCCTGTCAGGTGGATGAAACTCAAACAGTCATCATGACAGGTCCGCTGTTATCAGAACTAATCTGCATGACTGAGCCATAATTCACCGGGGCTTTTATTCATCAAGGACAAGAATAAAAAGATGTAATGAGGGAGGAAACATCCGGTGTGTACGCAGCTCTTGCTCTAAGGCCCAGAGCGCTGTTTTGTAATGCCGGAACTCTAAAACCGAGTGACTGCTCTGAACTTTTTAGAGCTGTACGTCATGTCATATTTTCTAAGAACATCAGCTGTAAGCTTGAGGCAAAGACAGTAAAATGAAAGTCTGTTGAAAACTACATTTTGCTGTTTAATGGAAAATCAGTTGGCATAAAATTAGATTTTGCATGAGATATTTTAAATGAGATAATTTTTGATAAAATGATTGTTGCTGAAGTTTTTTTTTTATTTTGTTCTTTTTATAATCTAAAGTGCCTTTTATTATTTGTTTATGTTTCTGTAGGTAAATACTACTACTAATAATCTAAATTATCTCTATACATGTCAATAAATATAATTTAAAAAAAATCTCTCTCTAGTTTACATATCTGAATACATATATTTGGATTGTATTTTTATTTATTTTAGATATTTATAAATATAAAAAGGCTATTTCTGAAGTGTATACACAGCATTAATAATTCAAATTTAAGTTACACTGTTTTGATAGCCCACTAACTACAAGTAACTTTGCATCTACATGTCAAGTAATTCTCATTAATTTGCAACTAAATGTCTACTAACTCTTGAGTAGACTGTTAGGTTAGGTTTAGGGTTAGAAAATAAGTTGACATATACTTGCAACGTTTCTCATATGTTGTATGTTGTGGACCCATCCAAATAAAGTGTTAGAAGATATTAAGCAGACAGTCTACTAATACTCTTAATGACTGCTAGCTGACGTGTAGTTGCAAAGTTACTTACTGTTAGTAGAATGTCTAAAGTGGACTATCAAAATAAAGTGTTACCAAAATGTATTATTAGAAGATTCATATTTTGATGCTCTTATCGCTTGCTGCGCACCGCTGTCAATCACAAATCTCATATCTGATACTCATTTTGCATAGAGGTTTAAAAATGGCCACTTGGATCACACGCCAGTGGTCAAAGTGTGAAGTTTGATGTAAACGCTTGGCTTTTATTCTAAATGAGACCAGAGGTCAGAAGACAACTGTCCCGGTCGCTTCACAAGCTGCTTGCTGCTCCCTTAGTAATTTTCTTAGTTTGATTTGAACATTAAAATCAAAGTGATCTGCTTGAGACCTTATGAATCCTCAGAGAATCATCTCCGTAATATCACTGCTGATTTAGGATTTCTAATCTATTTTCTCCAAAGTTTGTTGATTGTCGTTGAATTCAGATGATGCATACTTTAGCTCTTGAAACAGGGATGACTTTGATCTTTGTGTTGTTGAATGAACCCATCATAAAAACGGTTTCTTCTATATTCTCATTCCCCGTCCTTCAGGCTCGAAGCACTGATAATCTGGACAATTCTGGGGAGCCTGGGACCCGATCGGTGGGAACCACAGCCAACTTGAAGGGGAAGATGAGCAAAAGGTGAGAAACTGCATGTCTCTCCATCAGGCTTTATGAATTTTTTTTAAACCTAATTCTCTGTATTTTATTTTAATTTTGAAAACAATAATAGTGCCCTATTTTTTCTGGTTTCTGTTTTATGATTTAATGCAAATCTTTTTGCAGTCAAATGAAATTTGAACAGTTTCTTTAATTTTTTTGACAAACAATGTTCTGCACAACAGATGCTTATTATGAAAAATCTTCACGATATTAGATTTTTCACACCACGGTTAGAATTCATCATATCGATATATCACAATATATATAGAAAACTTGAGGAATCAGCCAAATACATTTTTACTGTGTTTATTTAGATTTTCTTTTTACCCAATGAACATAAGGATACTGATAAACACTGGGCACATGCATTTTCACTTCTTCAGGTCACAGCTGACCTGAGACTCTGGCTTTCTCTATTTTCATAAACCTTGATGAAAAGAAATGTGTAAGCTAAGAGATTTTAAAGGACTTCTACAGTTTAAATGTTTTTGCATTGTCAAGTCAAGTCAAGTCACCTTTATTTATATAGCACTTTTAACAATACAGATTGTGTCAAAGCAACTGTACAGCATTAAATTTTACAATAATGTTTCAATTAGGGCTGTCACGATATTAGATTTTTCACACCACGGTTAGAAATCACCATATCGATATATCACGATATATATATAGAAAACTTGAGGAATCAGCCAAATACATTTTTACTGTGTTTATTTAGATTTTCTTTTTACCCAATGAACATAAGGATACTGATAAACACTGGGCACATGCATTTTCACTTCTTCAGGTCACAGCTGACCTGAGACTCTGGCTTTCTCTGTTTTCTCTCTTGTTATTTCATAGGGAGCTTCAAAGAAGACACTGTCAAGTTCAACAGTATGATGAATAAATATTAACATCAAAACTGATAGTTTAACCTGTTAACTTGCATACCCGTGTTTTAAATGATGCCGGCGCCAATGAAGTCATCCAGTTAACGCGCTTCTAATTCAGTATTAATGTGCGTCTAGAACGGACGCAGATAAGGCATTAAGTGCATTGCACTGCGGCCAACTAAACATTTTACAGAGTTTAATGTAGCAATGTGGTCGCTCAGTTTTTCAATCGTGTAATAGATTTGAACAAAGAAATCAAGCAGCTACGCACATAATTGGTATCAATTGATATCATGTACATGTATCAGGTCACTTAATTTCCAGCAATATCGTCGACTTAATTGCACAGATACTATTTAAACTGAACTGAGCTGGATGTTGACATCACTGAATTCAATAATAAACTGCCTTTAACTGAAAATTGCGTGTTTACTATTGTCATTTTGCATTATTGACACACTATTTTCCTAATTAATGCTGTACAGTTGCTTTTACACAATCTGTATTGTTAAAAGCGCTATATAAATAAAGGTGACTTGGCATGAATTGGCCATGACTTGATTGCAAATACAAAAATTAGACTAGTAAAGTAAACGCGGTACTTATTAAAAGAATCGCCCCTTTATTTAAATATATGAACACAGATACAAATCGTTGCAAAGCAACTTTACAGCAAATTAAGTTTCTACAATATTTAGTGGTAGCTTATCAGTGGTGACTGTCAGTTAATGTACATATGGCAGAAATGTACGGAAAAATCAATTAAAGACGTAATCAAACAGACAATGAATACTATTAACAGCAATTATTATATGATGCAATCAAACTTATAGCAAAATAGTAGTTCTGTATTTTGTTTCAGGGTTGGCATCATCTGAGGTCCTCTGAGGGGTTGGCATCTAAATAATACCGTTATATCGTCACACCCTAAATTAACACGATGTCAATATTTCATGATTTGAATATCATGGTTATCGTCAATACCGGTATATCGCGACACCCCTAGTTTCAATGAGTGAGCTAGAGCAGCTCTGGGGATGAAGTTCAAGTCCTCATATAAGATGCCAGACACTGAAAACACCACAAGCGTCACATGTGCTTGAGTTTGTGTAGTAGACTTGTATACTAAATATTTCAATAGCAGTCTTTTAGCAGTTTGATTGTGTATAGCATTTTGATTTATTCATCCAAACTTTGCCAAATTCCTTAACATTACACATTACACAGTAAATTCCATATTTATGACTGGGTTCCACGATTCTGTCCTTGTTTTTTCACATTGGAAATCATAGGGCTTTACTCTAAAGCACCTTTCTTAACTAATGTTCCCACCTTGCAACCACACCCACTTGAATTGTAACCAGGACCCTCAAACTCAGGTGTAGACCAAGCATTTGAAATGAAGAGTAAAACAGCCTTAAAGGTTTTAGACACAAAAGTGATGGGCTATATTTTGGTTTAATAGTTAATGAAGTGTCAGCATTGCATCTCAGAAACTGAGTTCAGCTTCAGGTTTGTCAAGCTCTAAACACACTGTAAAACAGGAAGAACTGAGTTTCACTTCCCCCTGGAATAACTGATAATGGGATGCAAAGTTTCCCTGTGGTGTCCTTACTGAAAGCTGCCCTAGAGAGCTTCTACATTCGGTGGAACTTGAAAATACAAACTAGAGCTGAAGAAAATGTACATAGTAGTACCGTCCTAGGCAAAACTCAGTGTTAACGTGTGGGTGTTTGCCAGAGCCCTGAGAAGTCTTTAGGATTTTTTTTGTTTCATTTCGTTGTTTTCCAGATGAAAATCCTAAGGCTGAGAAATAGTTATAGTGCTACTTGCTAGAATGACTAATTTGATTAACCAGATAAGTTAAACATAGTTTTAAACTTTTCTCTATTTGTAACTGATAAACATACAGTATATGATGTGTTAACTCATCATTTCATCTATTGATTGTGGTTCCAGGCTTTCTGTTGTGAAAGGTCACTTCCCCAAGCTTGTTGACTGTGCCCACTTTCACTATGAAAATGTGGACTTTGGTTCTATCGAGGTAAGATCTTGTCTTATTAAGCAGAAGTTTGTTAGCTCTCCACTAAAATGTTATAAAAATTGAAATTTTTTATATCACCCAGCCCTACAGGTCACATTTGTTTGCAAAATTTGATATTTGCTGGACATTTATAATAAATAAATATATAATAATATATATATTTTTTAATGTATCGATTTCATTTATTTATTCAACTTGTTATTGTTTTGATTATTATTCATATTATTATTTTGCCCAAAAGAAGGTGTTTTACATCAGGAGCACAATTATGATACCTAAAAATATTGCCCATGTTGGCATTAATGCTTATTTATACCGTATTTAGGAGCAAAAAAGATTATTTACCAGGAATGAAGTAGAACAAGATTTAAAGCTATGACATTAATATTATGTTGCCCTGACCAAATGACCTATAGAAATGTGGTTTCATTTTTACATTTTGATGAAAGATAACATACACTGATCAATTGTGCACAATAAGACCAATGACATCTACTTAAAAAGTATAAAAAAAAATTTGTGTGTGTGTTTTAGTCATGTACATGTTCAGTTGTCATTGTGCATCATGTCAATATGTGTCACAGTTAGAGTTAGTTTAGTGATTTAAAGCTATGACATTAATATTATGTTGCCCTGACCAAATGACCTATAGAAATGTGGTTTCATTTTTACATTTTGATGAAAGATAACATGCACTGATCAATTGTGCACAATAAGACCAATGACATCTACTTAAAAAGTATAAAAAAAAATGTTGTGTGTGTGTGTTTTAGTCATGTACATGTTCAGTTGTCATTGTGCATCATGTCAATATGTGTCACAGTTAGAGTTAGTTTAGTAAAAAACAAGCAGATATCAGCATACAGCCAGATCATCTCCAGGGATGATACAGACCCTTGCTTTGTGACCTTCAATAACACACACACATTCAGATTCTGTTTGTGTGCTCTGATAGGGAAGAGGAAACAATTACTTATACTTGATTCTCAGATACAATGCAGTATGTCAGAGCTCTTCTCATATAAACCGCCGGCCACAAAGTGCTTTGTTTGAGCTTGTCTAAAATCTGTGATCCATTTAAGAAGGTGTACAGCCATAGTGATAGACATTCATTCTCAAAATGTAATTCAGTGTCCCTGTGGCATTGTTTTGTGTGTTTGTGCTGCATTTTGTGTTTATAATGGCAGAGATCTGTACACACACACACACACACACACACTTGAGAGCACCTGGAGCGCACTGACCGCACAACATGACTGGAGTGGGAGTCCATCTCATTAGTGTTTAAACCCCCTGAAGACAAAAATAAAAGACCTTTACATGTTTTTCTTTACTCTGACCCTGTGAAGCAGAAAGGGTCTCTGCAGTTCTTCTGTTCTTTGTGTAATTGCTAATGCAATACAGTATTTTTTTGGCCATGTACCATACTAGTACCATGGTTCTTTGAAATGCTATGGTACGCTACATGACTATGGTTATACATATTTAAATGCTCTCCAGGGCTACATTTGTTTGATTGTTTACTATTTAAAATGATGTTAAATGTTTTCTGTTTAAATATATATATTTTAGCAGTCATTCTTCAATGTCACATAGTCCTTCAGAAATCATTGTAAGATTGATTTGCTACTGAAGAGACATTTATTAGTATAATCAGTGTTGTAAACAGTTATGCTGATTTATACTTAATGTCTCCTTGCTGAATAAAAGCATTAATATCTAAAAAAAACTGAACTTACTGTCCCGGTGTCCCCAGACTTAGGAGTTTTGTGTAAAATAGTAAGTAGCTTTGGATAAAAGTGACTGTTTACATCTCAACGATTACATTAATTGTCAAAGCAATGAGGAAGTTTGCATGCTACATGGATATGAAACACCATTTTGGTGACTGAATTATAGTGAAGGGATGTTCCCAGCTTCTCATAAACAGTCATGTGTTTGAAAGTATCTTATCAAATTTGAGTAACAAGCAATTTTCTAGTAATTTATCTGTCCAGACTGAAAGCGATATTAGAATCAATGCAATTCAGTACATGTTTTGGTGTTTGTTGTTACTTTCAACTCGTTTCAAAATGTCAGAAAAATGAAACTTGGAAAGTACAACTGAATGCCTTTAGAAATTGGATTTACACCCTGTAAACTCAAACATAAATGCACAATTACATTGGGGTGCAGGTGCATGATAAATGTAACACCCATTGAGATGTACTTTTCCAATAATAAACTTGTCAGATCAGGATCAGTGAACACAAAACCAGCCTAATTCATGCAACCAACTGTTCTTCCAGCGTACCGTGTGGTTATAGTGAAATATGTAGCCTTAAATGATGATGCAAGACTGTGAACATTCCCTTTAAATGTTTGTTTATGTGTGCTTGAACTTCTTCGCACCTTCATGAATTAATGTCTGCTCTTTACACCTTCAGCTTCAGTTTGCCAACGAGCAGAGCGATGCTAGCTGGACCTTGGGGAGTGCCAAAGATCTGGTTTTCCTCGTGCAGGTGTCCTGCCAGGTCAGTGGGCGCACATGCCCCAGTCAGCGCTAATAGTAGCCACAAAAAAAACAAACACGTCTGACCGTATCAAACGTGAAAGAATTCAGTGCACTACACATCATTTTGCATTGTGCATCTTCCTCTCTTCTGTTGGTATGTCATTTGTTGACTTCCCCTTCCTCTCTCTGACCCTCTTTCCCCAACTCTCTCTCTCTCGCGCGCTGAAATCTAGGGTAAGACGTGGATGGTGCGGCGTTCATACGAAGAGTTCCGGACGCTGGACGCCCATCTGCATCAATGTATTTACGACCGCCGTTACTCGCAGCTCTTGGCCCTTCCTGCCCTATGCGAGATCGGAGACCAGGTGGAGGTGAGCTCAACTACGCTGGATACAAATTTCCTTTTTCTTATTTAGCTTCATCGTAGCTCATGTCGTACCGCTAACAGAGTTAGCTACTCTGTATTGAGGTCGTCGGACAGTTATGTAGGTTGGTGTCCGGATCCTTAGGGACAGTGCTGAGAAGGAAAACACTTAATCTTTCACATGTCACTATTATTATTATTTATTTTTTTTTTTTTCAGTTATCATGTGATTATTTTAAATCTGGTAGATTCTATTTACCATTAGATACAAAAGTTTGAGTTCAATAAGATTTTGTAGTGTTTTTGATAAGTCTCTTATGCTGAGCAAGTCTGTGTTTATTTGATCAAAAATACAGTAAAATATAGTATTGAGAAATATTACAATTTAAAATAACATTTTTCAGCAGTCATTACTCCAGTCTTCAGTGTCACATGATCCTTCAAAAATCATTTTAATATTCTGATTTGCTGCTCAAGAAACCTTTTTTGAATGTTGCTTAATAGTTCTTAATAATTCAGTGCTTAATTGTTTTGTTTTGTTTTTCTCCAAATTCATTTCCTTTGATGAATACAAAAGTTCAAAAGAACACTTGAAATCTAAATCTTTTAAAACACAAATGTCTTAAATGTACTAACACTTTTAATAAATGTATTGCATCCTTAATAAAATTAAAGTATTCGTTTCTTTACTAAAAAATCTAACTGATCTGAATCTTGCATTACAAAAATTCATTTGAAAAATAAGTGAGACTTTCAATTGAGCTTAACATGCATGTTGTTCACGCAGATCTTCACGCCACTGTTGTCGGAGTATCTGAACCGTCTCTCCATGATCGTGGACAATAAGCTGAACTGTGGGCCGGTTCTCACCTGGATGGAGGTGAGAGGCAAGCAGAGCAAAGATGGGAATACAAACATACATTAGAGTAGATAAGAACTGCAATTTGGAAGTATGTCAAAATGAAACTTATTTATAGGGATAGTTCATCCTCATGACTTTCCAAACCTATGTGTTTCTTTCTTCTGTGAAATATAAAAGATATTTTGAAGAACGTTGGAAACCAAACAACATTGGAGCCCATTGACTTGTATAGTATGGCCTGATGAAAACAGACATTTCTCAAAATATCTTCCTTTTGGAACAACATAAGCATGAAATTATACATGTATCACAGGCGATCCCAACACGCACACTTTTTTGTAAAAAAAAATGGCAGAATCTGTTTTGCTAAGATACATTTCGTGAATTTTGCTTTGAGATTTTGGCTACCTGAAGTCATGCAATATTACAGCTAATGGATTTTCATGCTCTCTACAGATTGACAACCATGGCAACAGGTTCCTGCTGAAAGAAGAAGCATCTTTAAACGTCCCTGCCATCGCTTATATTTTGAAGAACCAAACAACATTGGAGCCCATTGACTTGTATAGTATGGCCTGATGAAAACAGACATTTCTCAAAATATCTTCCTTTTGGAACAACATAAGCATGAAATTATACATGTATCACAGGCGATCCCAACACGCACACTTTTTTGTAAAAAAAAAAATGGCAGAATCTGTTTTGCTAAGATACATTTCGTGAATTTTGCTTTGAGATTTTGGCTACCTGAAGTCATGCAATATTACAGCTAATGGATTTTCATGCTCTCTACAGATTGACAACCATGGCAACAGGTTCCTGCTGAAAGAAGAAGCATCTTTAAACGTCCCTGCCATCGCTGCTGCTCACGTCATCAAGCGCTATACTGCTCAGGCTAGCGATGAGATATCTATTGAGGTACTCAGACCACTTATTTTTTTCCCTCTGTTGATATATTTCCTTTTAAAATAGGACTTTGAGATGCGACATATGAAAGCTTCTGGTTTTTTCAAAGCTCCTATCAGTGTTGTACATCAAACTACTGCATAAACTCCAAACTCTTCCAGAAGACCTTGTACCCAGTTTGAGTTCTGTCTTTTTCACGTCCTGTCCTTATTCTGCACATGCATGCACAGCCTGCCTGGTCCTGGGACACCGTTTTGTACTCTCTGCTCTTCCTCCTCCTCCTCTTCCTCCTCCGTCATGTCTATTCCTGTCCCCACTCCCTATACGCTGCTCTATATACAGCGTCACTTTCTGGGCCAGAGAATGGGGTGACCCAAACTTAGAACACATTGAGACCCCTTTTCTCTCTCTATTTCTTTGTCTCTCTCTCTTTCTTTCTTTCTCTCTGTCTGTCTGTCACATTTCACTTCCTTTGCATACATATGACATAATTTTATAAACCGATCTATCTAGCTAGCTTTAACCACATGGCGAGAACATAAAAACCTCTCTGAAACCCTTTGTAACCACCTAGAAATGCCTTATGACTTTGCCAAGCACTTTAGCAACCACTTAGTAATGCTGTATTTGTCTGTTTGTCTGTTGAATTTTTATATTTAGGCAAGGCTTTTAAAGCCAACATCAACATTTATTTCGACAAACTTTTCCTTTTTGGTTTCTCTCTTGTTCTTGTTCTTTTTCTCTTTTCTCTCATCTCGGGCTTAATGCTTTCTCTTTCTGCTCTCCACTGAGAGATAGGAACTGATGTTTTTTTGCCTTCCTCTTTTTTTAATTTGGGTCAAAGTATATTTCGGCATGCAACAGTGCTTTTGAATAGAGATGTTAATCTGATTGTGACTGGATGTTGTTGAGAATATATGAAGTGTTTTGTCTGCAGTGTACATACAGTAATTGCTGCTGTTGACGTGATTGTGGTTGAAAAATATGTACTCAATCATCATCCTCTTCTATGCTAATATACTTTTATGAAGAGTTTTTGATGGTTTCAATGGACAATTAGTTTGCATGTTTGTTACTAGGTGTGTGTGTGTGTGTGTGTGTGTGTGTGATGTTTTATTTATTTCAAGATCAAGTCTTGTTTGCATGCTAATCGCTTGCATGTGTCTTTTGTTCCTCTTTCTAAAGGTTGGTGATATTTTGTCAGTGATTGACATGCCACCCAAAGAGGACACCACGTGGTGGAGAGGAAAGCATGGATTCCAGGTACCGGTTCCAGGTTCCAGGATCTGATTTGGGCCATCTTCAGTAACACTGTAAACTTTGAGCCCAGCTTTCCCCTCTTTTTCTTCAGGTTGGCTTCTTTCCCAGTGAATGTGTGAAGTTAATCAATGAGAAGTTGCCAGTCAGTGCTCCTGTCAGTAAGCAAGGTACCATGCACATGGTCTTCTTCAGTATCCAGAGATCAGGATGGTTCTGGAAGTAGAAATGCCTTTTAAAATCTCTATAGCAGTGTACTTCCAGAACCAATATTGCTGAAAAAGTGTTCTGTCATTTTTTTTAACTCTTCTTGCTGGTTTGTCAGTGCTTTAGTACACATCATTTGGTTGTTCATCTTTATTGGCTTTTTCAGAGGTGGATGCTTTGGGCTCCAAACCTGGCATTAACAACACGACTGGGCCTTCCTCTCCATCATCAGGTATCACTAAATAATGTTTTTTTTTTACTTTTCAATAGTTGCAATTAGGGCTGGGCATAGTATTAAAGTGCCCCTATTATGCCATTTATACGGTTCCTAATATTGTTTTGGGAGTCACCTACAATAAGATTACATGCATGTAAGGTCAAAAAAACGCTTTCGTTTTCTCAAAATATGCATTTAATATCACCTAATTTTCCAGCGATTCTCAAACAATTCGTTCGAAGCAGTTCAAAGATTCCGTCTCTCTAAAACCCCTCCCGCCTGCTGTGCTCTGATTGGTCAGATGGCCTAGTCTGTTGTGATTGGTCTACAGCACGTTTCGGAAACGATACGCCTATTTCAATAGTTCTGTATTTTGAACGCTCTATAGAAAATATAAACATCTATTATTTATCATACTTACAGGTTGTGATTCAGTGGAGCAGCTGGTCCAAATAAACAGGATACTGATCCATCTTTCAAGAGCAAGCATTTTGTGAATCCCGCGTTAAACTCCCTGAAATTAGAGAAGCAGTCGTCAGTAGAATTGCGTGTTTGTGGGCAGGGCCAAGTTGTTCGCAGCCGGCCAATGTAGAACATAGGCGCGCATTATGCAAATGTGTTACCCCGTGACGTGTAGCCGTCACGGATGTGTGATTCAAATTACTAACGACTCGTTTCAGCTGTTCAGAGTCGATTCTTTATTTTGGGAGACAGTAACTTTATTTATCGTGCACTTTCAGCTTTACAACTTTGCAGATTGTTTACATTCAGCTACATTACACACTGCATGAAAGGCAATATTGGAAATGGCATAATGGGGGCACTTTAAAGTCACAATGAAACCACAGTCAGATCTTTTCTTCTCTATTGTGACACAGCCGAGTGTAGCAGTATATCGAAAAAGAAAAAAATGTAGGACAGAGATGTGATTCTGTGCATCAGTTGTTGATTAGATTGTACTTAAATGTGGAACCAGGTAAGAGCAAACTTGCAGGAGCAGGTTTAAGGAGATTAAAGTCCTGATTGAAGTCCTGCATATATCATAAGAGAAAGTCTGTAATTTCCCTGCAAGATCAAGTTATGGCAATTTAATTAAACCGTACGATTTACATTTTTTTTTAAAAAGAAACGTAGTCATATAAGAATTGTTAAGAATAAGATCTGTAAAATGCATTTAGAAAATAGATTTCATTTCAGGCCGTGTTTAAATACTAAATACCGCATTGTAACTGCATTACCACCTTGGATGTGCTATATTTTTGTATAATTCACAGTCTGGAGTCAGTTACTCCGCTTATATAACACTGTTAATGCACCACAAGACATTTCAGGTGTTTTATTTCAAGACATTTTTGAATGTGTGTGTGGCTGTCTGCTGCATTCGGCAGAATCTAACATTTAACTACTTCAAAAATAATGATGCTACCACCGCTACTGAGAAATGTCCACAGCTCTTAAATAGTGAAACTGTTTTATCAAGTCACAAGTTTTGTGCAAGTGTGTGCATAAAAGAGAGTGAGAGCAGAGATAGAGCATGCATTCCATAGATAATAAAGGAAATTGTCATATTTATTTCAATGCCTTTGTGGTTTTTAGTTCTTTCGCTGTGGTAGGCTGCAGGTGTCTTTGAAATAACTCAAATAATTTGGTTAAGTATACAGTGTCCATATTAAACTGTACTGCACAGTCAAGAAACTACTAAAACTACTTTAGCTGTGCGTTTACTGAAAAATATTGCCAACCAATCAGAATCAAGCATAAAATAGTAATGAAATATTACCATTTAAAATAACTGTTTTTATTTGAATATATTCAAGTGTAGTTTATTTCTTTTCAACATCATTACTCTAGTCTTCAGTGTCACATGATACTTCAGAAATCATTCTAATTTCCTGCTAAAGAAATGTTTCTTGTAGGCAACAAAAAGTGTAAACCCTAATTTAAAGAACATTGTTCTTAAAATGACATCATTTTATTATTTAGTTATTTATAATTGTTTGTTAATATTACTCCTAGTTTCTCTAAATAAATAAAAAAAGTTTGAAAGTGAGCAGCTTTGAAATATGATTTAAAAAAAAGGTTGAGAACCACTGATCAATAGCTATATCACCTACTCGGAGTAACATGGTTGTTAGACCTATGGCTGATCTGCTCAAATGGAACACAACCTGCAGGAGTTGTAAACATCATAGATTAGAGCTTACCGATTGGCTTTTTAGATGTTTTTGGTGTGGTTTTCTTCTCTAAATGGGTCAGAGTGCTCATATGGAGAATTCATTTGTACGTTCAAGTCACCTGTTAGTGCTCTGCAAAGCTAGAGTGAGCTGAGGCGGCGGGGTCAAGAACGACGCGCCCGGCGGGTCCGACGAATGAGCGGCAACCACATGTGACGTACCCCGGGCTGGATTCCGCTTCGTCCACGGTGAAAGTTGATGTATTCCCTCAGTGAGCATGTTTTGCACAAAATTTACCAGAAAAATGAACAGTTAATCATTTTTGTTTGAATCCACCAATATGGAGTATGCATACTTACAGTAATATTTTCTTGAATATGTTTTATTAAAGCATTTTAAGTTATGTAAAATGCCACATGGGGACTTCTGTGAATATTTTTAACTCCAAATCTGTTTTTTTGCTTTTTGTTTTTTAAATGAATGATCAAAACACTTCCAAACGTTGTGGCAATTTAGTGAGTTTTAAATTTAGAAACCCTATTAAAATCTCTATAATATTGCAAATTGCAATACGATGGAGGTGAGGTTAAATTAATTTACTTTAAAATTATTGGAAATAAATTATAAATATTTAATATGTCTCCCAGCCCAGTTATTTTCATAAGTAAGTCTCTTGTGATGAGCTTGGCTAATACAGCACAGTGGAACATGTTTACAATGGCCTCACCCATGTGTAAGTGAGGCTTACTGAGAGAGAGCTGTGTTTTTCCATAGTGACAAGAGGGGCGGAGCACAAGATCTCACGCCAGCCCCGAACACGCCTGGTTAGTCTTCGGGAGGCAAGGGGGGAGTCCTGTTTGACTGACCCCTCTTATCTGGACCCAGAGCTACGACGCTTCTCCATGTTATGAGATCCAGACTGACCCTCTACAGTGGACTCTCAAATCACAATCTGTTCTACCAGGAAAAGCCTGGTCAAGCCAGCTTAAGGGGCCATACAGACAGTACTAAAATAGAAATAATATTTCACAGTTGCACTGTTTGTACTGTATATTTGATCCAATAAATGCAGTCTTGGTGAACAAGAGTTCTTTCAAAAATCTTACCAAGCCCAAATTTTATAACCATTTGCTTTATATGCCATTTAGCTATGTAATTTTCCACATGGATGGACTATTTTGAGAGCTGTTTTTGTCGAGGACAGCTATAAAGACATCTTTTGCCTATGTAAACGCCATGTTAGAACTGTACAGCACACAGATGGATAATATATAAGGCAATAAATCCTTTTGTTGACATTTATTAATCTCTTTTAATCTTTTTATTACTTTTTTGTGTGAGAAAGTGTTAATATTAGGCTAAATGTTTATGGTTTCTATTAATTGATCTTTTCATCTATATAAATTTGATTTCATTAAGTAGGACATTGAGGAAAATCATTAGGTAACATGGGTAAATGGGATGAATGTTAAAGTAAAAATTTGAGCTATAGAGTGTCTGTTTGCGGACTCTACTCTGAGACATTAACAGCAGGTAAAGTGTCAAGTTTTTTTTTCTGTATGTAAGCTTATGTTTTCGTGTTAATCATAGGTTTCTTCTACAAATTAACCCCAAATATTGCTCTTGAGCAAGCAGCTTTTAAATGTTATGCACAAGCGTTACAATCTTTCTCAAAATGCAAAAACGTTATACTTTTGCAGGCTTTTTATTCGATTTATTTCTCTACTCGTCTGATGTCCCAGACTTTACAGGCTTGCTGAGGCCCAAAAAAAGCTCTACGCAAGTACAAAGTACAAGCGTTCCTAGATATGCAAGCTCAATTACAAATCATAATGCATGTATTATTATGCACTGAATTCTCAACATTGCTAAAAGAGACACTAAAAGGTGCATTACCTGACTTGACTAAGAATTGCAAATTGTGCATGTTAAATCTGAGTAAGCACCAGCAAAGCATGTGCATTTGTGTACTTGCGTAGAGTTCGTTTCTGGCCTCAACCACTTATGTTTTTGTGAACTTCCAATCTGTTGGCCAGCCCATGTATTTCTTCTACGAAGCTTTTTGCAGTAGAGCTGTATGGACTACGGAAGCTTTGGAGGAGCTGATGTTGTTTGTTAATGTTTAGGTGTCTTTCCGTTTGCAATGTATCATGTTAAATCCTGTTTGTTGTCAATTGCTGTGTTCTTTGCTGCAGTATTGCATTTACTCGCTTTTGTGCTTTGGATTAATGTATCTGAATCTGATTTTTTTTTTTTTTTTGGTTTACCTCTTTCTGATTCCACAGCACGACAGTCTCTGACCAGACCCAAGTCGTTTGTGTCCACCAGGCTTCTGTCTTTAGAGGAGGCGCAGGCTCGCACACAAGCTCCACTTCTCCTTCAGGGATCTCCTCACCACGCTATCAGCCAGTTTCACACTGTACTGGACCTGCCTGCTGACAAGTGGGTTTCTTTGAACAAATCAATGGCTTTTGAAGGAATAGTTGACCTACAGATTAAATTATTTTGATTCATGATGTTTTGATTCATGAGCTATTACTATAAATATAAATTAAAGCATTTGTGCAAAATTTTATTTTTCTCTTCTTCTTGTTTCTTTTAGGAGGAAAAGAGGGATGAAGGTCCGGAAGTCGGCAGGTGGGAGCTGGAAGACGTTTTTTGCCATTGGGAAACCTACAGCGGCAGGGCGACGCAAACCCACCAGGATCACCTCTTTGTTCCAGCCTGCTACCTCTCATGCAGGTATAAAAGATATCTCATCCATTTCTTTAGACTGTACTTCATTCTAAATAGATCTGCATGCTGATGTGAAAATGGCTGTTTTTAGTGCTGTATGTGTGCTTTAGGTTGCAGGGTGGACAGTGTGACACTCAGGTCAGCAAAGAGTGAAGAGTCCCTGTCATCTCAGCACAGTGGAGCAGGTATGAATGCCATTTGGTAACACCAGGGAGCAATGTAATAAGATTGGTAATAGATTGCTACTTTAAAATGTGAAAAAATGCTTTTAAAAAGGTAAGTGTAAAAATATAGCTAATAATTTTTCGCTATTATTGTAGTTATAAAATTGTGTATGTATACTGTTCAAAGATTTGGTGTCAGTAAGATTTCTTTTGAAAGAAAGATATATTTTTATTCAGCAAGGATGCATTAAATTGATTGAAAGTGACAGTAAATATTTCTGTTTCACAAATGCTCTTCAATTGAACTTTCCATTCATCAAAGAGTCCTGCCACCTCAAAAACAATTTTTGAAACAGCACAACTATTTTCAATATTGCTAATAAAAATAAATGTTTCTTTTTAGCATCAAATCAGCATATTAGAATGATCATGTGAAGGATCATGTGACACTGAAAACAGGAGTAATTGCTGCTGAAAATTCAGCATTGCCATTACATTACATTTTAAAATATATTAAAATAGAAAACAGTTATTTTAAATTGCAATAATACTTTATTGTACTGTTATTGGTCAAATAAATGCAGCCTTGGTAAGTAATAGACTTTTTAAAATATTTTAAAAATCTGACTCCAAACTTTTAAGCATTAGTATATGTAATAAAATTCAATATAGAATTTTTTTTTATTATATAATTGAAAAGTAAGAGTCTTGTGTGATGCGCTGTTTTCTTCTCAGGTCAGGGAAAGATACAACGCTTACGAAGACCTCGCTCCAGCAGTGATGGTCTCTCGCTGACTGCCTCTGTTGATCCGCAGCTCCTTCCCCAGCGCTCCCCATCTAGAATCCATCCAAGCCGCTCTTATGACAGCCTGCTGCCTGAGGAAACCCGTGATGCTGATGAGGAGGAAAATGAAGATGAAGAGGATGAGGAGGGTGTGTACATGTTGCCTGATTTCTCCCAGGAACCATCTGCCTCATGGATGGCAGAAGATGTCATTGACTTTAGCCCCACCTTCCTGGAAGATGGGCCAATAGGGTTGGGAAGCACAGCTGTCGATCTTAGCGGCAGGGAGTCCCCTCCTGCGGCCGCACCCCCTCCCTACCGCTGTCTGAGCCATCAAACCCATACCCGGACTGGTAGCCAGCGCTCAATAACAGAAGATCCAGACTCCGTTCTCAATCAATCAGAGGCCGCAGCCCGTCGTAGTTTGATCCTGGCTGCAGCAGCTCCACCTCAGCAAGTGTTCTGTCAGCACAGGCCGTCTGCAGTCACTAATGCTCCCATAAACACAGCTCAGCAGGGCGAATCGAACCTAAGCCCATCCCATAGCCAGACGCCAGCTCCAGCAACCTCTGCACCCCTGTCTCAGCCCCCTCAAGAGAGGCGTTCCTTTACACGTAAAGTGGTTCATGCACTTTCACCTAAAGCGCCTAAATCCCCACCTCTGGACATCTCTGATCCGATCGCCATCAGTGTTCCTGCCAAGGTGAATTTGAGTGTAACATATTTGGGGATTTTTTTATTTTTATTTTTTTTTTGTAGGGGCACAAACATAATGTAGTGGTATTATTTGGACTAATACCTTTAATATAAAATATATCCCTGTTTAATGTGCTGAGAACTACAAGTAAATCATTTAAACTATTTTAAGGTTCTGGAAATGATTGGTGGACGAGCTGGTGAATTGCAACCTGGACTTCCAAGTAGTGGACCACCTCAGCCACCCCAGATGATATCTATGCTCCTGAGGTCATGTGATTTTCAGCTCACGGAGAGCTGCCAGCAAGAGCTCAACAGTAAGTTGGGCCCCGTCGCCAAAATCAAGGGTCCTAGTGAGTACACACTCTGATTATGGCCTAATGCATTGGTTCCCAAACTTTTCAGACTGGACACCCTTATCTATAACTGTTGTCAAGTACCACCACTGCCCTGTCAGAAAACGTGATAATTTTGAGTAATTTCCAACATATTATGCAGGTTTTGTTCGATTGCTATACATTTTGCAATGAAATAACTTTCTACCATAAATATATTTTTCCATCTACCGCAAGTTTGGGAACCTCTGGTTTAATGTCAAAAATAGTTAATTTTTTCAAGTGCCTAATTTTTTTCTTAATTCCTTACTCTCAAACCTTTTTTCAGGTATCTTGGGTCCCACTGGTGTTCCTCTTCCATCACAGCAGCCCCCTCCTCCTCCCCCCAAGAACCCTGCACGTCTCATGGCTCTGGCTCTTGCTGAAAGTGCCAACAAGGCACTGCGGCAAGGTGCCTCACCCCCATACCGCCCCCGTCAAAGTGGAACCTCCCCTGAGACAGATGTCCGCTTCCAGAGGTCCCTTTCTGCAGATGCAGGTGCTCTGCTATCTTCTGATCCTAATCAGATTTATTCCACAGTACGCCCCTTGTCTGTGTGGAAGACTGAAGGTGATGACGATGAGGGTGGAACTGTTGCTGAAAAGCCTGCAGACAAATCACATGATACAGAGTCAAGGTCACCACCTGGGCGAGACACTGGGACTATCTCTTCTGACAGCTCAGTCTCTGACAATGGGACATCCAATTCTGAGTTGTCAGCTGCCAGTTCCTCTGAAGACAATGAGCGAACACCAAGCCCCATTTACAAGAACGAAGAACCAACCTCTCCAGCACAGCCCTCAAAATCCAGCCCACCCTCTTCCAGTGAAGCCATCCCTTCTCAAAGAAAACCCCCAGCTTATGGACGACAGTTTTCTGCTCCGCAGCTTCAGCAGGAGAAATCCAGCGGCCAGTCCAAGCCTGCAGCCCAACCACACACTCAGCTTCTGCATTCTAAATCAGAGAGCTCCCCACTGGCCCAGGTACGAGCCTTCCAGCCCACTCGCCCTAAAGTGCCACCCAAGCCCCCTGATCTTACTCCCTTGAGGGCTCCACTCTCTCAGACTGACCGTCATGATTACATACGTCGCTCTTTGGATGCCAGTCGCATTCGACGATTGGCAGGGCCACCGCAAGGGAACACACCACTTTCCAGAGCTTTCTCTGAGCGTATCAGCAGTACCTCTGACATGCTGTCTCGCTATCATGCAGCCAGGATGGCCAGCCAAGCTGCTCAGGTTCTTCCACAACAACAGCAACAGGCCCAGTCCACACCAATCAGACCGGTTGTCCCCTCCTTCGAAGACCCTTCCAAGATGGAGAACTTCTACTACGAAATTGGTGCACCTGAGCATCCACAAGTGCCACCCAGCTATGCACGCCACAGCTATCAAAATATGAAGTTGGATCTGGAGGGAAACCTCCGTCTCACTGATCCAGCCAATCAAAGGCATATTTCCAGGGGCTACCCTCCTCCCTACAATCACCAAGGACCTGGGGTCGGAAGGACTCCCCAGCTTTGGTCATCTGAGGCCACACGAGCTTGGGCCGTAGCACACTCTCACTCTTTCTCCTTTTCCCATTCTCATTCTCACCATCGCTCTCAGGATGGATCATCAGGACATCCTCCCCATCCCCGTCCCCAGCGTCAGACATCGTCATCCGTCAGGTTGCCCCGCAGTGAAGTGCATCACATACCCGCATCCGTTGGAGTGGGCTCCGCTGCTGGCATGGTGCCTTTGTCTGTGCACCAACGTAGCTTGCATCGCCCCCAGCGTTCCCCTTCTGCAGACCACACAGCCTCCCAGCTTCACCCCTACTTTGAAAACGGGAAGGTGTGTTACCGGTACTTTGAGGCTTCCAGACTGGAAGACTTGCCACTGAATCAGCATCAGCATGCTGTATTAAAGCCGTCTCAGGCCTCACCAGTGCAAGGAATCTCAAAAGATCAGCCTGAACACATTTACGTCAACTACCCTTTCACAAACCCACCAGGATCTGGGGTTAATTCAAAGGGCTGGGCCACCACAGACCTCGACGAAAATGATCACCAAACATCTGAGACACTGGAACCACCTTCTAAGTCACCACCGGATGACAAACAGAAGCATTCAGAGCAAGAAAGTCACATGGCTGGTTTTGACAACCCTGCCCAGAATGATGTGTCCTCAGATTCCAAAGTGACCAATATAGCAGCGTTTGCCTCCAGTGCCATGCATTTCCGCAGTCGCTCAGATCCCCAAAGTACTAGCTCGGAGCCTGGTCATGTCCTGACTGGGAAGGAAATTGCCTCCTTGCTAATTGAAAAGCTTGCAGAGGATGAAAGGGAGGGTCTTTCTGTGCCATCCTCTTCTCCGCACATTGAGCACCCTCCAAATCCCTACCCTAGCCAGCAGCAGCAACAACCTCCACCTGCGTATAATATCTACACTCCAGGACCCTCTCGAGGGCGCTTTGAAGGTCAGGTGCCGCCTAGAGAGGGATCAGGGCCTTTCCAACGTCAAGACCCCTTGCGGAGATCTTCCGGAGGCCAGTATAGACAAGCTTTTGACGTCATGCCATCTGGTGACCAAGTCGTTAAGTTTTACAGAAGCCAAGACTTTATCCCAAGCGCCCAGGGACAAAGCACAACCCCTAATCCTTATCCCCCAAGACCATATTATCAGGACCCCCCATACCCCAATTGGGGCCCTCAAGGCCTCCCAGACTCTTCCCATACATGCACTCCACCTACAGTGGCCTTCTCAAACTTAGCGCTTGGATCGATAAGAGGATATGGGCCTCAGACCGTGGCCAACCAGTTTAACCAGTATCCATACCAGTCAGGGCCAGTGCTTCCCCAGTATCTCAACACACCGCGACGAGATGTTGTCCTGGATCCTTCGCTTCGACCTCCCGGGTTGCAGAACCAGAGAGGCTTAAACCGGCAGGGAAGCCTGCCGGGCCCCAACTGGACCATCCGAACTGAGGGCCAGACCCGTAGTTACTGCTAAAGAGCTATGTGTTTAGAGGATATGATATAGACCGGTTATAAGCACTAGACTTATGTTTCCTGTACAAGTTAGCACGTTGTGAAACTTAACTAAACAAAGTTAAGTGGGGTATGTCCTTACTAGTGTTTCTGTCTCAGAAAGAACCCATTGCTGTCCTGCGATTAGTGTGTGTATTGGAGTGGGAAAAGTGTACGAGAATAAGATGTGAAGCAGAAAGGATCAAAGAAGTGAACCATAAAGTGGCTTAGATATAAAAACATTCCAGAACACACTGTGCTGTCCAGCAGAGGGAGTCAGAGAGGTACATAGCTGCTATTAACTCTGACAGGACGTTGCTCAGTGGCTAATTTTTGTTTTTCTGCTTTGGGTTTTGTTTGGTTTTAGGTTCTTTTTGACACTAAGTCATGCTGTACAGGGGCACAAGCTTGACATGTCTTTCTTCCTCCACAAAGTACGATATAAATAACCTAGAGATGCTGGTGGTTATATGAAACTTTATGAGTATGGCTAGTTTTTGTTATCTTCATTTTTTGGCAACAATGTGATGATATTTCCATTTAAATTTTTTTTTAAGTTATTGTAAGTGTTCAATGGAACGAGTTATTGTGAAATAGTTTTATTTTGCCTTTCTTGAATTTGTTGCAAAGAATGTGAAGATTAGGACTTTTTTTTGTTTTGTTTTTTCTTCTTCTTTAGTCTGTGTGTGAATGAATGTGTCATGCGCAGAGTGTCTTAACGTTAAGCACATAAAAAGGAATGGTAATTGCAGATTTTTGGGAGGGCGTAATTGAGAGCGCATACTTCTGTGAGGTACTGTTTTCTGCTCATTCTCAAATAATGTGTCAGATGATATGTGTATCAATATTGGCGTTCTAATCCAAAGCAAGTATTTCAGGTAGGTCATGTCACAATGTGTCACTCCCAGACATCCCTGGGTTTCTGTGATGGAGGAATCCCAACCTAGCAACATTGAATACCTGGTACTATTCACCACAAAACACTGAAAATTCCTTCAATGCCCAAAAAACTAGTCTTGGATGACTTTATAAATTTAAAAGTCGTTTTTATCAGATCCCTCTTTCTGGGCTCAGTAATGTTCTAGTGTTTTTTACTCAGTACTATAGTACCTTTCAGGTCATTACAAATGTCCTGGATGTTCTTCCACAATTGACCAGAGATGGAATCTCTAAAATTTGTTTAGTAATTTGTGCCTTCTCTTAAATGACTAAACGTTTTTTAAATAATCCTTCGTTATGAAAGCAAATATTGAAGAGCTAGATACAAACCCTGTCCCTAGCCCAGTTACCCCTATTTACAGTTTCCCAAAGTTCCACACTAGTAAGTTCAAAATGGGGGGAAAAAAAGATGTGTACGAGTGAGAATATGACACTGTGTGTTTGCATGTCTGTTATCTCTGTTGTTTTAATACATATCTATGCAGGGAATAACCAAGGGGGATATGTTCCTGAAAAACACTAAATATTAATGCTACCTATGTATGTTAGCAGACCTGTGAGCGTGTATGTTTCAGTGAGAGAGGTCATGCATGTGGCTTTGAAGGTATATACATGTCCAACAATCTCCCCTTCAGCCTTTTCCACTTGGCGAATGGCAGTTCATCCTATTTTGTAATATTTTCAAATATGTGAATTAAAACCTTGGACACCGTCAGTGACGAAACCTGTAGTTGGGTGATTATTTTTGTACACAGGTCAGACCATGTAGCTTAATGATGGGCGGTAAGTATTACAGGAAATCTCCTTGGAATGCAAGAAGTTTTAAAATGGAAAAATTAACATTGTGATGACATTTACTTGATTAACCTTCCTGTTGATGAGGCAAACCTGGACGAATGTCCTGAGGCTGAATTTTTGCATTTGCTATTAAAAGAAGTGGGGGGTTTTTCTAGGTTATATGTTATTTTTAGATGATTTTAATTCACAGGGCTTAGAGCGCTGCAGTCTCCACCCTCCGAGATGGGAGCCTTTTTTTGTAGACAGTAATATGAGAGAAGTTGAGGTCTTTCCTGGCTGGATATCCTGCAAAACCAGTCTGTTTCTGATCAGGCGACACTCCCAGTTGAGTATAAATTAAAGCAGACATGCGCAAGCTAACATGCCCTCCTCTGTTCTGTGCTAATACATGTACAAACTCTATTGGCATTAGATAATTAGTCAGAGCAGTAACTGTTTGGGTGGTTCAGGGAGTGGAGAGCTGCCAGGCTTTTGTTTTTTCGTTCTCGCTTTCTTAAGGATTGGTTATTTCCCAGGGCTTGTACCAGCATACAGCCTGCCACAGGTTTTGTCACTTTTTTTCCATTTGCGGTCAGTGAATGACACATGAAGAGTCATCAGCACAGTCACATGTTTATTTGATAAACAGAAACATTGTCAAGTAAGTTTTAAATACAAATGTGCAGTAACAAATCTTACAAAACAAATGTCCGTAGTTATTCCAGCTGCATGAAGTAGATCATAGCGATCACTAATGTGAAAAACTGTAAGACAGAAGTGCATCAGAATAGTGAATATATCTAGTAATGTGCAATTCAATTTCTTCTATAATAGAACTGTACTTTGAATACTAAACATATTTGAATACTTATATATAACAATATTAATATAAATACATATAAAAGCTTTAAAGGTCAACAATCAGGACACATTTTTACATTCCCTCTGTGCTGTTTTTGGTTATTGGTGTATGTACACATGCATCACACTACATCTTTGTTGCATAATTCTGGTTTTCAGCATTTTGTGGTGTGACAGGTTTTTTTTTCAAGCTTTTAAAGTAGTTTGAACTTTGAAGATGCATCTGAAGACCATTTTGTTCCATCTAGATGTTTAAAACACAATAACACATCCCGTGTGAATGTATAGAGGTAATTTAGAAAACATCTAGACTTACCACTAATATGAGAACGGAGAAACCGTACCAGCTCACAGCCCAGGTGTAATGGCTTAACACAGATTCAATATAGTTGAAGCAACCCTGAAGTATCAATAAAATACAAAAAAAAATTATAATTTGACAGAAGCACCATTAAGTAATATATAAAGTGAAGCATAAATTGAATCAAAGTTGTGCTACTGCACAGTGGTTCTCAGGAAACAGTTTTAAAGGGGTCCTATTATGCTTTTTCACTTTTCTAATTTTAGCCAGTGTGTAGTGTGTATGTTTGGGCATAAAAAAGCTACAAAGTTACAAATCTCAAAAGTCCACTCCAAAGGGAGATATTTCATTTTTTTTTTAAATCCCTTTTCAAAAACTACAACGAACAGCTCGTTTGGACTACAGCGTTGGTTTCCGGGCTTTGTGATGTCACAAAGCGGTCCATTAGAACATCATTAAAATAATTCCCGCCTACAGAAATTAGGGTTCGTGGTTGGAACACTTGGTTGAGTGCATCAGGCAAGACGACGACGAAGAAGTGCTGCTGCAGAGTTAGTGCATCAGAGAAAACAAAGAAGAAGAGCTGCTGTAGCGTTAAGTTTTCAGCAGGTCTCAAGGCGGTCGCACACTGGACGAGAAGCGCAGCGCTGCATCTAGAACAATTCTTACAACAAGTACAACACGACACAGCTGGGCGCCGCGGACAGACGTCGAACGTCGCCGCTGGTGTGCGTACAAAAATAATGTGTTCGAATTTTAAAGACGTGGCGCGACGTGACGCTGCGCTTCTCGTCCGGTGTGCGACTGCCTGAAACAGTTTTTGTCTTTGAAACGTCTTTGTTTGGGCTTCCGAAAAGCGGATGATGTCAGGAAACAGTGGTTGTAATTTATTTTTAACTCTGTTCTGAGCATTATAACCCCAATTTGTTATTGTGTGCTTCGCATTTTATTGAGGACAGCTTCCACAACATGAGGGAGTGTATTTTGCCAAAAAGCTTTGTTGAAAGACGGTGCAAGGGGCGTGGCAGTACTGAAACACCGTCACAACGCACTGGGACAGCTAACCAATCACAACACATTTTGTTTTTCGGAAGGCGGACCTTTATCAAACCCGGAACTAATCGAGCCCTTTGTGCCAGGCTAGGAAGCAAGGTACTTTAATAATGTAAATTATGTGAAAATTAATGCGTTTTTCGAACCACCAAGTATGAGAGCATGTTTTAGTACACCCCCAAAACAAAATCAAGACTTTGTAAAAGAGCATAATAGGACCCCTTTAAAATGTGTGCACCTTAAAAAAAAAAGCAAGCAGGAAAGAAATGTATCAATCTTGCCATGACCTGATTAGGCCATGAAGAATTATTCATGTGAATAAGAAAGAAAAAAAGATTTTCTCTTTTTTACTGTCAAAATTTATATTAAATTATTTGCATTTTAAAATTATTTGTTTTCAAATTATCCCTATCAGAACAGACCACTTTGTTTTGTGACACCAGTTGAGACCTACTGTCTATGAAAACTAACTCCAAGTAATTAGTTGGTTGCTGTCTCTTGTCTTCTGTACGTCAGGTGACGTCACGAGGCTTAAACGTTAAGTTACCTTTGTGAATAGGATGCCGGTCCGGCCAACCTTACAGCCTTCTGGATCTTGCAAGTCAAAGGTACTCAGTCTCTTGCAGCAGCTGAGGGGCCAGTTGTATGTAGGATACATCTGTTTCAAGGTGGAGTTATACACTATCCAGTCTTGTGGACTGTCTGCTCCACAGCACTCGTCCTGATGGAGGAGAAAGGTACGATTAATCAATCAATCTCAATATAGTAAAGAGAAAATACCAGTCACATGTACATCAGTTGAATTCTATATTAATCTATCAAGTTGTCGTGATGCTTGGAAACCTGAAGTGCGCTTCACTTGCAGAATTCTGTATGAATCCGTCAAGTTGTGTGAACTTTGAATTCAAAGAATTTTCGCGGGTGGAATCCAGTAAATTAAATACCCTTACGAAAAAGAAGTTTATTATAGTGTGCTATTAGTATACTTCTTTTAAACTATTAAAATACTAAAGTATACTTTCACATGTAATCATTTCAGATGCTTCCACATGTAATCTAACACGATCAGACATAAAACAGCATCAAAACTGTGTAACCTCGTGGAATAAAATGTCGACCATGAAGAGGTTATGACTGTCAAGCTTTAGGATGTTGATCGACTTTTTGATTATCCTTCTGAATCCAATTCATAGTCTTTTTTTCAGCTTTTTATTCAAAATGTTTCTTTCTTATTTTTCGTTCTTTCTTTCTTTTTTTATGAAACTAACCCACATTCAAGTGTTTATAAAAAAAAGAATGCATGAAGCTAGAATAAAATGTTTTTGTTTACAAGCAGATACCCTGTTCTTTCTTTTGATGTTTGTATGTTCAGATATTCATATAACAAAATATATACAAATTAATACCTAAATAGGGACATAGTAGTATACTTAAAGTATGATGTAAAGTTCACTCAAAGAAAACTTACGAGTATACTTGCAGTATAAAACTACTAAACTAGTAGTTTACTGAGACTATACTTCAAGGTGTACTAAAACTGCTACAAGTATTTAATTAGTAAACTATCAGTATACCTATAAGTTCACCTTTAGTATAGTTGAGTACAAACTAAAAACATAGATGTAAACTAGTTGTGTACTCTAGTTTACACTAGTGTTATACTTAAAGTATACTTAAAAGTACTAGAAAGAGGGCCAATTTAGTCCCAATGAGTATTGAAATAGTACACTTACAAGTATGCTACTAGTACACTGATATTTGTATACTTACTACATAAAGTATACTTAAAAATATACTTGAACTTTACTTAAGTATACTTAATAAAATAAACTTGAAGTATACTTCTTTTTGGTAAGGGTAGGAATATAAACCCGGTCGGAAAGTTCATTTAAGGGTGAAAGATTTCCCCTCGCCATTTCTGTTTGCGTTTTCACAATTCAAAATCTATCTATCTATCCATCTATCTATCTTTCTATCTATCTATCTATTCACCGTGTTGACCAACAGATTGTTGCTTGCTTGGTTTGTCATGCATCGCTATACTATTTACAACAATTAACTTTTTGCCCATAAAATTTTGTTACTGTATTATGTAGATTTTCTTTTTAAACTGTAGCCTATTATTCATTTTGTTTCTTATCCCAATTAGCAGTCGTTTTTTTTTTAAACCGTGGTTATAGTGGTTAAAACAATCCTGATTCCCTCAGCACCAATTATATGGTAAAAAAAAAAATCACTGAAATTCAGTATATCTCAAGCCCTACTATTTATAAGCCAGCAACCTCTTGCAACTGTTATTCTCAGCGGTTTATGTGAGGACAAACTGGTTTGTCCACTCTCACAAGGCAACAGAAAAGCATGTTGTGTCAAGTCTGAGTTGAAAATTAAGGTTTTTCTTTCCTAAAATTATGCAAGTGTATATCTTACGTTTTAGCCACAATCCGTGGACAGGTGTAAGGCATTTGTGTTCGATAAAAGCCAAGAGGTCGTCATTGGTGTTCAGCTTACCTGTTCCATCACTCTGTTCCATGTCTGTGTAATCTGCTTTCCTTGTATGCTGTCTTGCCCATAATATTGCAGCATCTGTTTCTTTACAAAGTTACTGTTCCCAACCAGCTATAATAAAGGAAAGAGGATTTAAAAAATGAAGAAAAGGCCAACTTTCTCTCCATTATAAACTTGCTGCTGTTCCATTACATATGATTATAGACTGTAATTTATAGGACAGTATATAAACAACAGAAACATTTTGAAAGAGAGAGCAGGAATGGGCCACGACTAGATGCCTGTGAGCCTAGCGTCTCTGATGTGTAATTTGTCATTCTATTTTACTTTTACAGTACAGAGAGGCTGGTGACAGTACTCACATAATCCCGGTTGGTTGCTGCTGTGATGGCAGATGCGCATTCAAACAGAAAGATGATGAACATTATGAGAAAGTACTGTAGAAGGATGACAGTTGATGATAATTAGTTCAAAATTAAAATGATTGTTTATTTTAAACCTTAATTGGATTGTCTTGCTAAAGGTAATATTGAATAATAGTGATTCATGTAAGATATGAGATATGACACAGTCTTCTATGAAAACCTACCACCAGCATGAGTGCACGGCTCCTTTTCAGGGCGGCAAAGATGCCAAAGATGCATGTGAGGAAGAAGGCAAAGCCTGTAAAAATGGCAATCCAGGCCCCAGCAAAGATGTCATCTTTTCCCGACACACCAGATATGGGGTAGAGCTTATACCCATCTGCTGCTACCCAAATAGCCACTGCGAATAATGCCAGTCCTGCTGCCTGAAAGGGGAAAATACATAAAAAAGTAGTAAGTGACAACTTTTTTAATGTGTATATATATCTATTAATTAAAAAAAAAAAAGTGACATTTCACAACATAAACAATCTTTGTACTATTTTGTTTCAGACTTACAGCAGCGATTGCATTCAGAGCAACAACTACAAACATCAACCATGTCAAGGATCCTGCTCCCATGGCTGTAATGTGTTTTTCTGTCTGACCTCGTCACACTTTCCTGAAGAAAAATAAAATAATGATCAGAATATCCAGCACAAGGGAAAATACTCAAGATTATTTATAAGGTAACGGCCTGATCCGTTGTCACTGAGGTTTGGGCTAAAAATGTACCACTGATCAAAGCTGCCAAAAAGTTATCGATTGAGTTCTCTTGAAAAACTTTAGTTCTACTTCTACTTAGAAAGTATTTGAGCATAACTAGAATTATTAAATAAAGTATTTTCAATGTACGATGGTACACTGATGGTATCAAATGGCAATTCCATATTCATACACCATGCTATTTACTTCAGAGAATACTGTTATTACCATGATGACTAAAAAGCCTTTGCATTCATTTTTTCAGAGCATAAACTAATAAAAAAAAATCACAATGCTAAAAATAAATCTAAACGGTCATCGAAAAAAATATATAGATTACAATAGATAATAAAGATAATAATTCCAAAAACAAACAAAGGAAAGTGGACTAAAATGCCGTTCGATAAATAAACAAATAGAAATTGGTAGCTGCTCAGGGACCCACCTGTTCCAGTCTGAGATTGCACCTGCTTTCCCTCTACCTGCTTGTATTCGGTTCATTTACTTTTATGGACACTTTCATGACGTCAAACCTGTTTGTCATCTTTTTTTTTTTTTTTGGTTATACAGGCTGCATGAGATGGGATAGGCAACTTCACTCCCTTTCTTTTCACCACCAAGTACTTTCAGTTATTCCCTATGACATTTTATTGAAATGATTATGAAATGAATCTAGGAGTGTCTACATGAAAGAAAACGGTGACAGCTGCCACTGCTATTTCCAGAACATTTAAATGTACATGTGAACAAAGTTTGCAAATACTGCTACTTGGTGTGAAGTGATACCTACTGGTTCTCTTTTGATAAAGGATATTTAATTTAATATAAAAATAGTAGTCCAAGCCACTCAAAGTAGAATTTATATATAAAAAGTATTAAGTCGTGCATGTCTGTAGAGATCCACATACTGATGTGGCTTTATATACTTTATTAAATACATTGTTAAAAATATTTATAAAGGAGTACTATTAGGAGAACTATTTTTGTATTACATCTAAATTTACAGTACCTGGTCTTGCTCTGTTTAGGGAGAAATCCTGTCCTCTGCTGGACACTCACACCATATAGAGCTTTATATAATGTGCATTCATAAATACCACATTACCACATGACTAAGGTAAGCATCACTGTAACTGTTTCTCATACTTAGCTTTGAACAAATCCAAGTCATCTGATGAACCAAAGCATGATTAAGACTTGATAATGATCCCATTTGACTTGGGCCAGTAAAAAACCATCCAGAAATGCACATAGCATCATACTAAAAATACTCAAGACACCTTAGTATCTATTTAACAATGTGCTAAAATGCTTTAAACACTTTGGCAACCACATAGCAATGTGCTTGAAAACACTTAATTAAAAAACTTAATTTGGTGGGAATCTTTGCATGGACAAGCATCACTCACAATTTAAAAAAATGTTTAAAAAAATCTGCAATACTGTAAAAATACACTCTAAACATTGCTGGGTTAAATACAACCCAATGCTGGGTAAAATGGGGACAAACCCAGCAATTGGGTTGTTTTGACCCAGCAGTTGGGTTACTACCCAGAAGATTAGGTTAAACATTTAACCCAACCACTGGGTCAAAACAGCCCAATTGCTGGGTTTGTCCCTATTTTGCCCAGCACTGGGTTGTATTTAACCCAGCATTTTTTAGAGTGTACAGTTAATATTTAAATTTGGTGGTGAAATATAATATGTACAGTTATAAAAACTTGTGGTGTGGATGTGAATTCTTCCTCTCCTGAAACTCTTCTTTACGCTAGTTTTCAAACAAAATTCCATTAGAATTTCACAAATGGAGTAATTTATTTAAAAGAAGAACTGTGGAGATAAATGGGTTAAATGGAATTAAGTACACCATGATGCTTAACAAACTTAAAACGCCCTGTGATCTGCTAGTTTTCAAACAAAATTCCATTAGAATTTCACAAATGGAGTAATTTATTCAGAAGAACTGTGGAGATAAATGGGTTAAATGGAATTAAGTACACCATGATGCTTAACAAACTTAAAACGCCCTGTGATCTGTTTACAATGTCATCTGGAAACCTTGTCAAACAAAGTGTTGACTTTAGCACAGCTGACTGTCCCGCAAACACACTCGTTCAGGAGAACTTAAGGACGGAGGACGCACTTTTGCAGCTTATTTGTTGTTCAAAAACGGTGAGAGTTGATTATTGTATCATGTTCTGTTGACCATATTTTATCTGTGAACACTGTCAAATTCAGTCATTAGGCCTGTATACCATTGGTGTTAGCAGTAGGTAGCTAGTGTAAGCTATATAATTAAATGCTTTTTTTGTTCGTTTCAGGGTACAACTGAAGATGGAAGAAAAACTTTCGGACGAAAAAGTGAAATGTATGCTTGCCCCTTGGAGGTTTTCCATCAGGGCACCTGGATTTGAAAACAGGCTGGTGACTGCTCTACAACTGTTTGAACGTTTCCCTTTAGATATAGCTGTGACCGGAGGAACACCGGAGGCTAATGCTCAGTTGGCTTCTGCAATCTGTGGGCCGGGTGAGGAAATCGAAGAGGAGGAATGGGAAACTGATGATGAAGGTGATGAGGAGGAAGAAACAGATGAGGAAGAAGAATCAGAAGACTGTGAAGAAGATGGAAGTGCAGATGAGGAACACAATATAAAGTCTAAGTTAAATACTAATCACCACCGCAGTAGTAGTAGGAAACGTGTTCGGATAGCAGAGCATGCCGAATATATAGGGAGTGGTGTTCCTGATTTTGACTCTGTGATTTTACACCGTCAAATCCCAAATGTTCGTGTGTGGACCGTGCAGGGCCATCCAACTTCAAATTCCATCATGAACCAGACCAACCAGCAGTATAACTCCACATGCTATGATGTTCTGGTGGTTCTCACTACGGAACAACACAAGGAGGACCACATGTGGCTCAAAATGGAATTGCATGGCAGAGATCAGCCTTTTTTTCTGGTTCAAGCTGAGCGGGACTGGGACGTGGTCGAGGAGAAGCCTACAGGGCCATGCATGACCTGCGCCTGGGAAAGAATGAGAGCTCGCAAGCTGGAGCTGCAGAAGAGAAGTAAAGAAGTATTTGGAGAGACGGCTGATTCAGAAGCTGACAGCCAGAATCCTTCAAATGCTTCCCAAGATCCAGAGTTAGTGAAGATGAAGGATATCACCAAGGTGCTTGCTGAAGCCCTGCCTGAGCTTCGGAAGAAGGCTTTTAGTCAGTTTCTGGTGGCGATTACAAAGGAACTTCGGATTCCTAAATTACTGACTGATGACACACAGTAAGTCAACTTCATTGTGTTTTGAATTGCTTGATAGTACCATGTGACACAGACTTGATTTCCATTTGAACCTCACTGAAATAACAATTATGGCTTGTTACACATGTCTGGAGTTCTGGGGTCAACATGTTTGTTGGTCAAGTTCTAACCCAATCTGTATACGCAATCCAAACCAAATAATAACATTACCCTTAAACTAGAGGCAAAAAATGGGTTCATAGTGATGGTGTACAAGGTCCTGGAGCAACAAGCCTGTAAAAAAAAGTTCTAACCTAGTCCCTACCCCTAATCCAAAACCTAACCTAAACTAGTCTCATGTAGCCAGACCTTCAGACTGATGGCAGCAGGTCTGGGAACCTTGGCCGCTTTGAATGGCCGAGGACCCCCTAAGAGGCAATATGACTGACATGTAAAACAACCAATCACATTTCGTTTTATGCCGCATCATGTTTAGGGGCATGGAAATGTCCCCACAATAACAGACCAGTGTGTAAAACTCTTGAACGTATTTTAAAGAGTCTATGCTACAAACTTTACATATTTCACATACTTTTGAAAACCCAGTGTTTAGTTGAACATGACAAGAGCTCATTGTCACAGTTGTAAACATGACGGCTTTCTTCTTCCATGAGGGGGTTTGGCGTCATGGCATCTTTGTTTCCAGGAATGTTAAACAATGCATCCTCTTCTGGAAATCCTGTATAATTCAACCAATCCGAGGACGACTTCGAAACTCCTGAAGCATATCCAATTTTGTGTGTCATATGCATCAGATGTTCAGTCAGCTGTCTGTGGGAATGATGTCTGAGTCTGAAACTAAACCTAAACTAACCTAACCCTTAAACTAGAGGCAAAAGTCTGGGGGTTGATAATAATGGTGTTCAAGATCCTGCAACAACTGTACTGTCCAAAAATATCTTCTAATTCAATAACTACCATTAATCCAAACCTAACCTAATCCAGGGGTGTCCAGTCCTGCTCCTGACCAATGTCCTGCAGAGATTACCTGCAATCTGCTCCAATAAACCTGCCTGAACATTTCTAGAGGAGGTCCTGAAGACCTTGGTTAGCTCGTTTAATTGTGTTTAGTTAGGATGGAGACTAAATTCTGCAGGACATTGGCCTTTCAAAAGCAGGATTGGACAACTCTGATCTAACCCTTATATTAGCAGGAAAAGATAGGTTGATAAGAAATCCCTTAATCCTAATGTTAGCCCTAAACCTAACCCCAAAATCTGATTAGTTAGTAATGATGTTCTAGGACCAACAAGGATGTTGCCCCAGAAGCATGCATAGCCCTGCAAAATCAGGGTTCAGTTGTTGGACACCACGTTGTGTTTTGGACATTGGTCCCCAACATGGGATGACAGTGTGCTTGTGTCCCTACTAGGCTGATTAACTTAACTAGTTAGTTATTTTTCTCATTAGGAAATCTATGTTTGTCCACTAGCTTATAGACTTGTTGTTAACAAGCACTAACTGGCATAAAAACTAGCATGAACTATCATGAAAATCCATTGTTCATGAAGCTTTATGGGTCAGGCAGACTATAATTTCTTACAGCATCTAGATTTATCTAACAAATTCGCTATATTTGCTTCACAGGTTTGTGGTCTCTACTGCTTTGCGGTCCAAGAAGATAAACCAGGATGATCTTGATCAGATCACCAAGCTCTCGCAGCCGAGAGATCTCACAGACAATCCTTCCAAGCTTCAGGCCATCCTTGCAGCTCTCGATCACTTCCGGCTGGATATCGGTGTGCTGGGTGAGACGGGCTGTGGTAGCTCCAGCTTGGTCAATGCCCTCTTAGGCCTGGAGAAAGGTGATGAGCAAGCTTCCTCAACCGGTGTCATTGAAACAACCAAAGAGGCTGTGAAGTATCCCTACCCCTCCCCTAATATCCACCTTTGGGACCTTCCTGGGCTTGGAAAAATAGGTGATCTTGGCAGCCTGTCCTCTGCGTCCAGCTCTTCTGAAGCTCAACGCATAACATCTGCACTCTCTTTGTGTGATGTATACATACTGGTGTCTCCTTTGAGGCTTAGACTGGGAGCCATACAGTTGTTGCAGCAAGCATCATCCCTAGGGAAAGAATGTTATCTGGTGCTTTCCATGGCAGACTTGATTGAGGAACAGTCCATTGTGGAGGTGAGGCAATGGGCTGAAGAAGTCTTGGGTAAACTGGGTCTCCAGCAGAGTTTA